ATGACACATTGATAAAAAAGCAGGACAGGAAACTTACAACCATACCCACCAGGTAAAGCAACCGAAAAATGTAGGCACTCGCTACGACCGATCCAAACACTACCAAAATGGTGCTCCGAGCTCTCCGTTCATTGTTGTTCCAGTCAAAACCACAGCTGAGTCTCATATATGTTCCCCAAATTGTCTATAGACAACAACTAAAGTGTCAATCATTCAAAGTTATCACCAAAAGATTGGCATAAATAACCATATTATAGCTATTGCTAGAAAAGATGAAACCTTTGAACTTCACTGTTATGACCATATAACAGAAAACAAAATTTAGTCCCAACAGAGAAAATTTAGGAAAAAGAAATTAAGCAATCTTGGCTCATTCTCCACACACATACACATGCAAATGTAGAAACAATCTATGAGCCGAGCAAGACTATGTGCTAACTCGTTATTGCCCTCTATTCCACTCAAGTTGTCCCATCTTCATCATTATAAGTGCAATATCTCACTACTATCCATTTTATTGCAAGTGCAAATGCAATCATTACTGCTTGCCACTATAGTGTGATGAGGATAAATAAGAGGGACAAATTAAATTCACGGAGGCCAAAATGTCTTTAAGAAAGAAGCTGCCATTTTAACAAACACTACAAGAAAAAAATAGTTTTACGACGCGCAATGCATGTCGTAAAAACACTTTTACGACGTGCAACGGCACGTCTATGTATGACCAGTCATGAAAGCCTTATTCACTTTTCAATGACAGCTTTCCGCACGCCGTTAAAAACTATTTAAACTTACCTGTTGCTACAATTCTAATATTACAAAACAATAAATCAACCATGACCAATATTATTTCAACCAATAAAAAAAAACTATTTATATAAATTATAAACATTAAAAAAATTATCAATATATTCATTTCAAACATTCAAAACCTAACTGCTAGTTCAAAAATATCCAAAAGGACTATCTTAATTCTGAAATTATCCAAAACGTTATAACCATCCAAAACTGTACATATATAAGTTTGTTAAACATACCCAAACTACTTCAAAAATTAAGAAATCTATTCATCAAATCCTCAAAAAAACTATCCATAGATGTTAGTTCTACTCAAAATCAAAGCTAATGAAATGGATTGGCCAAGCAAACAGTGCTTCGAAATAGCATCTTCAAGCACAAACCATCTCACGATATAGGCCAAAACCAATGGTCATAAGCACATAGACTCATGTAAGCATGCTATCCATGGGCAACACTCACACTCAGCAAGATGCTAAAACATAAAATGCTTTTTTTTAACCGGGGGAACTCCAAGCCAAACAAGAAACTAGTTAGTAATCATATGCATGATCCTTAGGTGGCATGTTAAGATTGGCTAATGCAACACATGCAAGATGCGAGCTACAATAGGCCTTGGCTAATCTATGGATGGCATATGATGATGCTACAACTAACACGTATTTCAACTTGGAATTGAAATACAATGCAGTTAGATGATGCGCTCAGCCCGGGGCATGCAAACAAATGTTATGGATGCACGTATGCATAGCATAAGGTATGCTAAATACAAAACCTAATACTAACCATCAAAAGCAGCGTAAGTAAAAGGAGAAAGAAGTGGGGTTGGAAGACATTCACACACGCACCACACTTATATAAATTCGCCCTCACTCGAGGGACCAAAAGAATATACAAATTAATAACCTACAAGCTTAATAATTATTACAGGACACTAATTAATTACAAATTAATTAAAGCAAGGAAATCATAAAAGGGCCTCGGGAAAGAGGGTCCATGCATGCGGTTGCTCGGTTTGCTAAACAGAATCCTTGCCATGCCACAAGGCCTCTGTCTTACCCTGTCTACCCCTTGCTCCTCTGGAGATATGTACAAGTCCCAGGTCAGCTTCCCACATTCGACGGATCTCGGCACGTCACTCGTGTGCAGAGCGAACCACCGACACCCAAGGAATTCCTCTACTTTCTCTATACGAAAATTAGCCAGCGTGATTGGTCATCGGACCATTGTCACAGCCCTATCTCCCCCCCCTCTCACTCATTTGCGATCGACACTCCATGAGTCACCGGCCACTTTTTCCTGCAGAAGAACCTGTTTTACAGCAGCAGAGGGCAAAACATGACATGACAATGCATTTTCAAAGCAATGTTTGCCACAACCACACTCCTTATCATGTTATGACTCAAAGGAGTTGGTACCGACCCTCGGACACCAATCTGCGCATTTCAATGCGTGATGGCCAAAGAGGCCGAAGTTGTGCATTTTTGATTTCAAATGCAATGCACACCAAAAACAACAGGTGGCACCGACCTCTACCACTTGATCAAGAGCAACGCATGCATGCTCAATGCAATGCAACCTAGGCCATGCTGAACTAAGCAAGGCAACATGATGATGAAGGTAAAGCATACAAATATGCGAAATGTGTACTAGGCACACAACCTAAGCCAAACAAGCATTGAAGTATGTAACAGACTATGGCAGCTAATCAAGCATGCAAAGGCAACTTAAACCAGCAAGCATGCAAAGCCAAACATGAGACATACATGTTAAGAAAACTTAGCAAAGGAATGCATGCAAAATGCACTACCACCTAAGCATGCAACAACTACCAAAGGGGCCAATGTTGTGACACATACAAGGCAAGCATGCCACAACATGCAAACAATTACTTATATGGACATGCAAGACATGATGCAATCAAAGCATGCAAAGTGTAAGACATGTAACAACATGTAAAGAGTGGGAGTGGACTTAGACCAATTTGGGCAGCCCTCAACTAGGCCCAAAACAGTGGCCAATGCTAAGGAAATGGGGCCAAATGCACATACAAGCATGCATGCAAACATGGTCCATCACTTAGGCATCAAAGAGCAACTTCTAAGTACACTTAAAAGAGGCTAAACATGGGCATATGGAGAGCAATATAAGCTCTGAAAATCACATGAGGATGGTGCCAAACCAACCTAAACCAAGCAATCAAAGCATGCTAACAAGCCCAAAGCTTGAGACCAACCAAAGGGTTCAAACCATGGCCATGCCAACCAAGCCTCAAAGGGCCAAGGGGACTCCAAACAACCCCAATGCAGGTCTAAACGAGACCAAAGACACACCTAGATGGCATCTAAATGGTCTAAACATCCAAGCATACAAAAGGGTCCAAACATGGAGCACAAGACAACAACCTTTTAACACATTAAAGGGGCATCAAATGCAAGCATACAAGCACACCACAAGGACTGAAATGGCATGGCAAGTGGTTCCAAACCACTGAAACAAAGAAAGGATGGCATGCTAGAGGAGTCAATGCTCAAGGCATACAAGGGGGATTACATGGTAGCTATACAAAGCAAAGTATGGATGACCCAAATGACCAAAAACAAACCTTTAGCATGCTAAAACAAGCATAAAAGCTTCACAAAGTTAGGCCAAAAACATGCTAGACACAAGGCTCAAAGCACAAAGCATGTTAAGGCAATTCATGGCATTACATGACAAGTATGCAAGCTAAGCATGGTGTGTCTAAACTAAGTAAAAACAGAGGTAAAACATGGAAAAATACTACCAAATACCTACTAAGACATGTCCAACATGGTCTTAAATAATATGCTCACACATGAGGCTAAAATGGCAACTTTTGAAGGCAACAAGGAGAGGGGATGACCCTCTCCTTCTTAGTACCTTAAACCACCATCCTCACCATTGAAATCTTGAGGGATTTCAGTGGTGAGGAGGCCCAAACAAGGTGGTCCCGGAGCTCACCAAAAATAGCACAAAATGGGGCCAAACAAGGCCTAAGAGGGGGTAAACAACCCCAACCACAAAAGTGATCTAAACAAACTTCAAAAGGAGCTCAAAATAAGACTTTTTTCAGTTTATGACAAAGCCCAAATATGCTTGCAAGATAGGCTAAAAGTGTGAAAAAACGGGGAATAAAGAGGGAAAAGAGATTACCCTTGAAGCCCACTTCGAAGAACACCAAACCAGCAGCCACTTTGGATCAAAACCAGCTCAAAAACCCCTCAAACAATAGCTTAGCACGTCAATAACCAAAGAGTAGTGTACTCCTAGGTGTTCTAATGCAAAAACAAGAACAAAAACTCACTTTGAAACACTCTAACCCACACAAATGTAGAGAGAGAGAGATAGAGATATAGAGAGGAAGTGATATATATTATATATATCAGATTTTTCAACCCTTGAAATGGAAGGAGAGGCCCTCTTTATATAGAGAAACCAAGGGGGCAAAGCTTTTTAGAGAAGCTAAGGTAAAGGGGCCAAGCTTCTCTTAGAAGCTTGGAGCAAAAGGGCCAAGCTTCTTGGAGAAGCTAGGCAAAGGGGTCAAGCTTCTTGGAGAAGCTAGACAAGGGTTCAAGCTTCTTGGAGAAGCTAGAACAAAGGTTCAAGAGGTTCAAGCTTCCTCAAGAAGCTAAAACCAAGGGTTCAAAAGGTTCAAGCTTCCTCAAGAAGTTAAAACCCGAGGGTTCAAAAGGTTTAAGCTTCCTCAAGAAGCTAAAACCAAGGATTCAAAAGGTTCAAGCTTCCTCAAGAAGCTAAAACAAGGATTCAAAAGGTTCAAACCCCCCCAAAGAAAAGGTCTCGGCCAGAAAAGGTGGCTAACTGACCGAAACAAAAGGCCGATCGACCAAAAACAGTGCCGGTCAGCCATCATTAATGGCCGATGGCAATAAAACAGGACCGGTGGCCTCAAGCCATAGCCGGTGAGGTGTGGGGATGGCCAACAAGCCATTCCCTGCCCCTCAAAAGCAAAACACAAGTGTTTGGTGCAAAACTAAACACAAAACAGTCGAATCGAGAGGTCTTGAGGCAAGGCGCGTGGCCGAGACCTCCAAGAACTCAGGACGAACAGAAACAGGGATGATCATCGAGTGTTCAAATGATGACGTCCAAGTCTTGAGGACGGTCAAAAATGGGGTGTCTACAGGTTGACGTTGGATGGATTCGATTACGATTCCATTCTGGGGCAGTGTTGTGAAATGCCAGTCGGTTTTGTGCAAATTTCGGTGGGGATTACGGGGCCTTTGTTGCTCAACGGTTGCGAATACTCGGTGCCAATGGCAACAACCGAGGGATGTTTGGTGGCGAGTACGAATCGAGGTTGCAAGGCGATATATGATTGTGGTGGTGCTACAGGCATTCTTTTGAGAGATGGAATGACAAGAGCTCCTGTTGTCAGGTTTTCCATGGCGAAGAGAGCTACGGATTTGAAGTTCTTCTTGGAAGATCCTCTTAATTTCGATACATTGTCCTTGTTTTTTAACAAGAAAGATTCCTTTCAAATTCAATTATACCAATAATTTCAATTTCACTCATAATCACATTCACGCTGTGTTTGGTTGGGTTGGGGCTTTTGACGAGATATTTGGAAAGAGAAATGGAAATGGAATGAGAAATGAAATGTGAATAAAATATATCATATAAATATATAGTTTCACACTTTTTCTCATTCTCTTTCCAAATCCCCAAACCAAATATAGTGTCATAGGTTAAATTGTTAATGGGTAATGCTAGGATACCAATTTTTTTATCAAATAAATGATCAAATTTTTTACCCTGATCATTTATTTGGTAAAAAGTTTAGGGCTATAGTATTTTCCTTTGTTAATTCCTTTTCTGAGTTATTGGTATCAATCAAATACTAAAATGGTTAGCATTTCCTTTGCCTTTGTGTTTGCTGTTTTGGTTGTTTTTTTTTTTTTAATTTGAAAAGGTACTGATGTTGATAGGCATTTTCGCATCTTTTAGAGGTTGACGCTCAATAATTTTTACATTTTTTCCTGAAAAATGGTGAATCTGATTTATGTTAAATGCAAGAAAAATTAACTTTGAGGAATCCTATAAAAAGCGGAGAACATTTAACAAAAAAAAAAGTGCCCGAGAATAAAGTTGGCACTATTTTTTCATGGTTCTACATAGATTTGTCAATACATTCCAATCAATTACACCAAATGACGTAAATACTTCCCTGATGGTGAATGCTGTGGGGGTGTTTCAAGTTTTGTTTTCATCTAGTTTTATGTTGAATTGCAAGATTTTTATTGATGCTTTTGATTTGTATATATCTATATGTACGGGGAATTGCTTATATTTGTGGCTTTTGTGTTTCACTTGTTTCTGTTTTTGAATTTGACGTATTCTGATGTTGATGCGGTTACTTTGTACAATCTTCTATGCTTTTGTAATTAGGATATTGTATTTTTAGCATTTTCCAACAGTTTCTGGTCTTTCGGTTCACGGTAACGTGTTCTCTGATAGCAGATCGAGCAGATTTGCAAGGCTCCAAGGCATTCACTGTTCTATTGCGGGGAAAAACCTTTACATAAGATTTAGCTGCAGCACAGGGGATGCGATGGGGATGAACATGGTATCCAAAGGTGTTCAGAATGTTTTAGATTTCCTTCAAAATGATTTTCCAGACATGGATGTAATCGGCATCTCTGGTAATTCCTCCCCCTCCCTCCACCTCTCCCTTCTCAACGTGGATTGTTGCTCAAAATTTTAGACTAGTGACAAATCTGTTTGGGTCTGCAATAATTCTGTTAATGGTTTACAGTTGTCTAATTTTGGCGCTTTCTAATTCTGATCATATATGTATGGTTATATCACTGGTGTCCCTTATTGGTAAGGTGAACTTGTCAACGTTTAGCTTTCTGTTTCTCTGAATTTGTGGACACATGCGGCCCTTGTTTTTGACTTTTTCTATGTGGTTATTTATTTCACTTTCCAAGTTATGTCATTAATCCATTATGCCCATTCCATTTTACTGGCTTTACTCGATAAGCTCTTTTAGTGCTATTGTAACGTGTCATGCATCACTTGATTGTTTGTCCAGGGAACTTTTGTTCAGACAAGAAGCCAGCTGCAGTTAATTGGATCGAAGGGCGTGGAAAGTCAGTTGTTTGTGAGGCAATCATCACTGAAGAGGTAGTTAGGAAGGTATTGAAAACCACCGTACCTTCACTCGTAGAGCTTAACATGCTTAAGAATCTTGCTGGATCTGCTGTTGCTGGTGCTCTTGGTGGTTTCAATGCCCATGCTGCCAATATAGTCTCTGCAATTTTCATAGCCACTGGACAGGATCCAGCACAGAATATCGAGAGTTCCCACTGTATAACTATGATGGAAGCTGTCAATGACGGGAAGGATCTTCACATTTCAGTGACCATGCCTTCCATCGAGGTAATTCGATATTTCATATGATCTTCCCATTTCTTGATGATTCTGATTTTATCTTGCTACAAGTTCTGTTAAATTGGATTCTAGGGAAATCCAATGCACTGCTTGTATTGCCATCTTGACCAAATATCGGTGTTTTTTTGTTTGTTTGGTTCTGTACTGTTGTGCTGCAAGCATTGTGTAGCTTCATCTGTGGACCTTTAAGGCAGAGTGCTTTTCTGTTACACTATTACTTCATTTTGCAACTAATTGTGAAGCATTGCTACTTATATTTTTTACTTCTAGGGAACCAGAATGTATTCAGAATATTGAACTGTATTTCTGTTTGAGTTTCTTAAACCATTTTCTATAACTGTAACTTATTTGGTTTTTTGTTTGTTCTAGGTGGGCACAGTTGGAGGTGGGACTCAACTTGCATCTCAATCGGCTTGCCTGAACCTTCTTGGCGTGAAAGGTGCAAGCAAGGAGTCCCCAGGATCGAACTCAAGGCTTTTAGCAACCATAGTAGCTGGTTCAGTTTTGGCAGGGGAGCTCTCCTTGATGTCCGCCATTGCAGCTGGGCAGCTTGTCAAGAGCCACATGAAATACAACAGATCAAGCAAAGATGTCTCAAAAATTGCCTCTTAAGAGGAAAGAAGAAGGTTAAACATTCAAAGAGGCTGAGAAGGCAAAATTGGGGAAGAGGAACGATACCCATGTGAGATCGCTTCTTGATGTAGCTGTAAAGGTGGCAACCATGCGATGGTGCTAACTTGCCTGGTTGTACTTTACTCTTTATCTATATCTCTAAGCATGACATACATTCCCTAGTGACTTGTGACCATTGGAGGCCCCACACATCTGGTTTGTATCGCTTTCCAATTGTGAATTTGAAGCTTGTCCTGTTTTCTAGTTGTTTCTGTCATATTATTTGTCCTTGGGGGGCCACATTGTTTCAGAGCTGGATCAATTGTTGTTTCTTCCCCTATTACTTTGTACATTCTCAGAACTTGAATTTGATGATGGATATATATTTTTTGTTTGGTATTAGTATCTAACTATTTCAATTTTGTGTGGGTTGTACCTGGTGTTAGTTTTGTTATCTGCCTCAAGCAATAATTCTAGATAGAAGATAGCATGAAAACTTTAACCAGAATTTCAACATTGAAAATGAAATATTTATGATGTATATTTAAAGTTAGTGTGTTGTAGGTAATGAACTTTATCCGCGCATATCAGTTATAGGTGAAATCCTGAATAATTTTTTCAAGTGCTTATGCCGTGTTCCTCTCTCTCCCAATCTTCATCAACAATGACGGAGCCGTTGCAAAAGAGGAACAAGGGGACTGCAAAAGGGAACAATGGTGTTCAACAAAGAAATAATCCGGTATACATATGGTTCAGGTGAGCAAACCTGGGCTTTTTCTTTAGTATTTATATTTCTATCTTTGGATGATCTTTACTCTAATCTTTAATTTTTGGATAATCTCTACTCTAATCTTTTGATTGAAACATTAATTAATCTTTAGTCTTTACTAAACTCTAATCTAATTTTATAATCTGTAATCTCTAATCTTTAGTCTTTACTAAACTCTAATCTAATTTTATAATCTCTAATCTCTAATCTTTAGTCTTTACTAAACTCTAATCTAATTTTATAATCTCTAATCTCTAATCTTTAGTCTTTACTAAACTCTAATCTAATTTTATAATCTCTAATCTCTAATCTTTAGTCTTTACTAAACTCTAATCTAATTTTATAATCTCTAATCTCTAATCTTTAGTCTTTACTAAACTCTAATCTAATTTTATAATCTCTAATCTCTAATCTTTAGTCTTTACTAAACTCTAATCTAATTTTATAATCTCTAATCTCTAATCTTTAGTCTTTACTAAACTCTAATCTAATTTTATAATCTCTAATCTCTAATCTTTAGTCTTTACTAAACTCTAATCTAATTTTATAATCTCTAATCTCTAATCTTTAGTCTTTACTAAACTCTAATCTAATTTTATAATCTCTAATCTCTAATCTTTAGTCTTTACTAAACTCTAATCTAATTTTATAATCTCTAATCTCTAATCTTTAGTCTTTACTAAACTCTAATCTAATTTTATAATCTCTAATCTCTAATCTTTAGTCTTTACTAAACTCTAATCTAATTTTATAATCTCTAATCTCTAATCTTTAGTCTTTACTAAACTCTAATCTAATTTTATAATCTCTAATCTCTAATCTTTAGTCTTTACTAAACTCTAATCTAATTTTATAATCTCTAATCTCTAATCTTTAGTCTTTACTAAACTCTAATCTAATTTTATAATCTCTAATCTCTAATCTTTAGTCTTTACTAAACTCTAATCTAATTTTATAATCTCTAATCTCTAATCTTTAGTCTTTACTAAACTCTAATCTAATTTTATAATCTCTAATCTCTAATCTTTAGTCTTTACTAAACTCTAATCTAATTTTATAATTAATTAATTAATTTCAACATTAATTTTTGTGATTTAAACATTTAAACATTGATTCGGACATTTTTTTTGTATGTCTTTATTTATAAATTAACTACATTGGTTATCATTTTTTTTCAAAATAAAAAGTTTAAATTCACAAAATATGTTTGAGACACCGATATAAGATAAAATATGAGCCTACATGCGTGAATTTCACATACGTATCGTATTTAGTGAATTTTTTCTGTATTCGTTTTTTTCAAAATTATGATGATAACATACAATGTACCAAAAATTGATACTAAAGGCTATTTTAATTTCTCTTCTGAACTTGAAATAGATGATCCCAAATCCAAAAGAAGGAAACACTTCACATGTTCCAAAAACATGATAAGTCAAAAATGTCTGCCCAAAATATAAATAAAAAAATTAAAAAAGGTGTTTGAAATCCAAATGTATGATCTGTATTTTTTGGGAGATGATGAGCAGAAACCGGTTCAATGAGAGAAGAATAGTTTTGGCCTCGGAGAGTTTTTTTTCTTTTTCCTTTTTTAAATGTTGTGACTGAGGTCGACTGAACACACACACAGTTAATGAAATGTTTGATTCTTTAATGAGAAATGGGTGTTAATTTTTGAAATGGGTGCTAATTTTTTATTTATAAAATGGGTTTTTCTATATTATGAGTTTTGCTATTGTTTGCTAAATACTCATAAATGTATAGGGATCTATAAAAACTTCAGAGTTTGCTAAATACTCTTTAAATACTGATATGGATTTTTCTATATTTATGGGCTATTTGTGTTTTTCTATTTTTTTCCCCCTTCATTTGGGAGTGGGGATTGGTAAGCTGTGATAAAAATATATATATATATATATATAGGTTGTGTTTGGTAGAGTTTTGTAAATATGATTTGAAAGTATGAGTTGTATTTTGAGTTTGGGAGTTGTGGAATTATGATTTGAGTGTAGAAAATTTGTTTGGTTATGGTTTTTGAATAGAGTGTTGAATAGTGTGGAATTGAGTTTTGAAAGTTTGATTTGACATGTGAAGTAAGAAAATTTGTTTGGTTATGAGTTTTGAAAAAGTTTTCAAAACTTAATTCCAATTATTATAACTCATAACAAAACATACTACTTTCACACTATTGAAAATTATGATCAACACTAATAACCAAACACTTTTTAAAATTCAATTAAAAAAATTATTATTAACAGAAAATAACATTAATCAATTTTTTAATTGAAAATACTACAAAAGAAATAAATTTTTTTCAAAATACATATTCAAAAATTTTAAATCATAAATATTTAAATAATTTAAATAATCTAAAAAATTTAATAAGTAAAAAATTAAAATAAATATTCAAAAATATTAAATAATTTAAATATTCAAAAAATTTAAATAATTTAAAATGCTAATATTTTAAATTTAAAAACAACTCTACACTCAAATCGTAACCAAACACATAAAACAAAAGTCAATTAAGAAATTATTTTTAAAACTCATAACCAAACGCATAACTCGAAACTCCATACTATTTTCACAACTCTACACCCAAATTGTAACCAAATACATAACACAAAAATTAAAATATTTAAAAACATTTTTATAAAATAGAGTTTGAATTTATTTTTATAAAATATTTTAAAATTTTAAAAATTAGAATCGTAATATTTTGAAATTAAAATATTTAAAAATGATTAAAAAAAATAAAGTTTGAATTTATTTTTATAAAATATTTTAAAATTTTAAAAATTAGAATCGTAATATTTTGAAATTAAAAAAAT